ATGCGTGTGTGCATATACATGTACAAACAGCTGACGGGCGACGTCCAAAGCTAAGTCAATACTTGTATTTATTTTCTAATTTATATCCCATGAGATAGTATGTGTCCAGATATCTCCCACATATGCGTGATTATTTTGGCAGGAGCCGAGCAGCCATCATTAACCTGGAACTCCAACCAATCGGACGCATCCATACAATGCAACACGTACAATGAAATACGTCAAAGTCCGAATACATGGAGCTGTCTGAGCCATCAAGCGAGCCACGCCGAGCCGCGGAGCGAGCCGCTAAGCGAGCCACGCCGAGTTCCGACCATGTCGACCACGTCCCGAGCGGCCCCGCCGAGCTCCGACCACGTCGACCACATCCCGAGCTTCACCACCGAGCTCCGACCACCGGACCACCAGACCACGTCCCGAGCGGCTCCGCCGAGCTCCGACCACCAGACCACGTCGCAATGATGATCGCCACGAAGAACGGCGCTATGACAACCGCGACCACCGTCACAACAGGCCGAAAAGTACGAGGATCGGACAACTTTATCGTCATCGACCAGATTTCTATCCAAAGATAAGTACACTTATAATATTTATATTTAATATAATTTTCATTACGACGTTTCTCCACAACGTCCTTGTCATGATTATTCTTCAAATAACGTTTGTCCATGTATACCATCTTAAATATAACATACAGCTATACTTAATGCAAATCCTCGACCAGTCATGTTGACGCTCGATGTTTCTAGAAAAGGCCCTGTCTCCGGCTTCTCCCTACACGTGCACGAGCGTCTGCCCTCTGCGTTATGGGTGGTCGGCAGCGGCTCCTTAGCGACGCTTTGCTCTTCCTACACGTGCACGGGCTCCGCGCCCCGCGTTATGGTTAACGGGCTAACTAGGGCTGGAGACTCAGCTACATACTAACTGGTCGGACGGTTTATATTAAGTATAAATACAAACTTTCTGTTAACACTGATGTTTACAAAGCACCAACTGCTTTATCACATCATGCTCATTTGCAAATGACTGCTGAGCGTTGTTTCTTCACTGCTGATTTTTTCTCCATAATTTATTATTTTGTACATCATGTACTACCATTCTACATATTTATATTGCAGGAATTTCTTGCTATGCTCGGAGACTTCGTCGCTCGCTCCTCGACCTACGCTCGAGGACTGCCTCGATCACTCTCCGACCACGGCTCGGGGACTTCGTCGCTCGCTCCTCGACCTGTGCTCGGGGACTGCCTCGATCACTCTCCGACCACGGCTCGGGGACTTCGTCGCTCGCTCCTCGACCTGTGCTCGGGGACTGCCTCGATCACTCTCCGACCATGGCTTGGGGACTTCGTCGCTCGCTCCTCGACCTGTGCTCGGGGACTGCCTCGATCACTCTCCGACCACGGCTTGAGGACTTCATCGCTCGCTCCTCGACCTGTGCTCGGGGACTGCCTCGACCACTCTCCGACCACGACTCGGGGACTTTGCGTCTCGACTACATGCGACTGGCGACTCGCATACAGTTGGAATATTTTTTCTCACTTAGACCTTGCTACAAGGCTCATACCTCGCCTTTCAGCAAGCTCGGGGACTACATCGATACGATGCACCTGCCGGTGCATCTCGTATCGCCTGTACGACGATTGGATTGTCAACTTAACTGGGAATTCTTTTTAAACCCTGGCACCACGTGCCTACGTCACCTACTACCAGGCTCGGGGACTAAATGGGCACACTTCACCTTGCGGTGAATGTGCTCGATCTGCTGATCAAAGATGCTACGCTTCAAGACGCACTTACATTTCTTTTGAGAAATACAAGTGGGCACACTTCCCGGGACGGAAATCTTTTTCTTTCTTCTTAAGAGCACCATACATTCTTCGGACAACCTACTTCTCCGGCGACAATGGTGGTCGGAGATGTCAAGAACTTAAGCCTCACTGTTCGGAGAAGGTTAAAATGGCGTGTCGCATCAGAATACATGGCGCTCGAGGACTAGCTGTGGGGGATATACCCCCGGGTACCACAAGATGGTACATGGGCCGCACCATCTGAGGTGGCCCAGCCCGTAAGATCAAGGCGTGCACATCAAGATTACAAGTTGTACTAGATATTGTGATAGTACCAAATTGAATACTTTACTTGTAACCTTGTTCTTCGGAGTATATAAGGAGAGACAAGGGTCCCCCAGAGGACGGGTTAATCTGTATACATCATCAATACAATACACCAAAGACACAGGACGTAGGGTATTACGTCGATCAGACGGCCCGAACCTGTCTAAATCGTTGTCTCTGCGCCTTGTGTCACCATCTGGTTCCTGATTACGCGCATCCTACCGATAATCTACCACCACGGGCACCCCCCTCGGTGGACTGCCAACCATATTTCGTCGACAGTGGTCGCCGCCACGCACCCCGCCACCCTCCCCTTCTCTCGCCTCACCATCGCCTGAGCGACGTGGGCCGGGGCCCTTGCGGCTGGTCCCCCATTGGTGGAGCACTCGTGCATCTCTTGTCGAGGAAGTTCGTCGACGTCTAGGTGAAATTAGCGGCGTCAGTGCCGTGGTGGCTCATATCCACGCCGGGGAAAGATAGATCCAACGAGCCAACATCCCAGATCTAGCCACGGTGGCCGGGGACCTGCTTGCATCGGCAGCGGCCATTCAACGCCGCCGTGGCTTGATTCTACTGCCCCCACCCGGATCCATGGCAGCAAGTGGACGTTAGTGGCGGTGGCGGCCATGCGTGGCTGTGCGCCTAGGGCGTGCAGGCTGCTCGTGGATGGATTGGTCATGGAGAGGCGGCTGGAGCTTACGGGCATGGTGATTGTTTGCTCCTAGCGATTGTCTATTGGTACCCTAGGGCAGCGGCGGCCTGAGCGCTAGTGCAAGGATCTTAGCGAGGAGGAGGCGGATCCCATGGGTAGTGGCGGCAGCGACAGACGACTCCAGCAGAGGCGACGACCATCCCAATGACGGCGGCTGCCCTATGGGTGGTGAAGGCCTAAGAATCCAACGAAGTGGAAGCAGATCCTGTCGGCTCACGTCTGTTCGGCTAGTTCTGACTGGACGATGACGGATGAAGGTGGGCTAACCAGCATGGTGTCAGCTTACTTGAAGCGAACGAAGATGGCAGCAGTGGAGGATCGCAGTGATGACACACTAGGCGCGGTGGACTTGACGACTTCCACTCACTGAATCTGGTCATTTTAGGAGAGGATACTGGGAAGCATGGATGTATCGAGGTCGTAGTTTTTTCTTTTTTTTGCTTGTCCGTTCTCCTCTTTGTTGAGGTGTGAGTCTAAGTGTTCTTATATCCTTTTGGCTGTGTATATTCTTTGTGGATATAGTGGCCGGATCAATGAAATCCATTATCTAAAAAAACCCTTTTTTATAACCCTAATAAGTTTGCAAGGCCAGTACTCGAAGTTGGGTTATTTATTTTTGTTCTTTTCTCTAGGTCTGTTGTGTTTACATGGCTTCAAACCCATGTAGACCTCTGTTCATTCTTACTAACCATCATTTTCTTGTTTGACACCATACCATACTTACGGCTCTCTGGAAAAACAGCTACGTATAGATATAGTATGTACTACTACTAGCTAATAAGCTTGCAGCACCAACTCCTAAAAAAAATGGCCACCAACAGCAGAAGAACAGAAATCCTCTGGTTCTGCGAACACCATCGCAAGGCTCAATATAGTAATTCGGAATATACAATTATAGATGCTCATACTTTGGTCAATTTAGTGTATCAAAATTCAGATGAACAACTTAAATCCATAAGAATTAAGAACGGCTACCTATGCACGTTACCCCAAAACTTGTGCTCCCAAGTCCGAAATCAACCTCTGAAGCTATGCAATTGCAAAACAGAAAAAGAAAAGAAAGAAGCAGCTAACAAACTTGCATTTGCCTGAATGCACCTATACAGAAACAATGTGCCCCCCGCGTTTCGCATGCCGTCGCCATGGTTAATTAACTGTGCACAAAGCATCTCATTTTGCAGGTAGCGGAAGTTCTCGTACGGGGAAACGTTGAGGACCACTGTTGGGCCTGGGCACAACCCCTTTCGCTAGGCTCTCCCCATTCGCACGACACCAACGCCCGATAAACACTGTGCACAAGTTATATGGCAGTGCTATTGCTTATTCTCCCCTGAATGCACCCGTACACTAGCTATTATAGCTAGCGAAACTTGTAGTATGCATGAATACTGGAAACAAATAATCAGTTAACACTCCATGTAGATCAAACCAAGCCATTTAATAATTTGCTGGCAGCATTAGCATGCTGCTGCATGGATCACAGACAAGCATACATTGTGTCCAATACAGTCAATGAAACTGAAAACCAACACTTGCACACCATGGGGTTTGGTTCTGTGGAGGCATCAAACCCAGCCTCTTATTTCAGTTTTCGAGTGCACACGCGCGCACACATAACCAGTCAAACCAAACCAAAGCAAAGGAGGATACATCAGTCGGCCTCTTTCTCAAGAGTGATACACACGAATTCACATATACCGGTATCAAGCACACTGCACACTGCACACACACACCAACTTGGTTGATGCAAATCCAAGTAGGTAGCTAGCATCAGAGACCAAATTATTTTCATTCTTGTCTTGAGAGAAAACACACCGAAGACTTGGCAAGCAACTTGGTTGACCACAGCATCAGCATCAGTACTGCTATTGCTATATATGGAAGCATACCCATTGGCAGAGAAAGATCTGTCGTCGTCATCCCGTCGATCCAACACCTGATGAATCTACAGAGAGTGATCCAATCCAACATCAGCACACACAGAACATGAAACAAAATTAACTTGAAATAAATTACTACAAATAATTAAGGGGAGGAAGTTGCTTGATCATGTGTGTACGTACCAGGAGAAGAAGGAAGCCAGCAGCAAGTAGGTGATCACGTCGGCTATCTCAGCGGAGAACCGTGCTCCTCAGGTGACGCCTCTTGTAGTACTTGGAATGGCTATCTCGGCTATCTCGGCTGGAAGAGGGAGGGGTGGTGGCCAGACTTCATCCCATCCCACTCCAGCTTATCCCACCAATCCTTCTCGCAGTCCACGGCCACCGGGCGGCCATCTTCAAGGCGGCGACTGTCAGTGGCCGGGAGATGCCTCAGGCTCCAGCAGCCTCTGATATAGATAGTCTCGAGTTTGGGAGCAAACATCTTGGCCTCGCATATCTGTTGCAGATTCGGGAGCTCATACAGGTACAGGCTCTTGAGGTTTGAGAATCCCAGCATGCCTTTTTCATGTCTGGCCGCTATTTTCTCTAGGAACTCTTGCTCCACGAAGAAGACCTGCTTGAGATCACCGCAGCAGTGTATGTGGAGAGTCTCCAGCACCTTGGATAAGGTATTGTTCGAAGCCATCGGGAGGACATATCTGAGCCTCGGGCAGAAGTGCAGATGAATAGCCCGCAGTTGTGTAAACGATAAATCATTTGCATCCAACCTTGGATTTCTTGGTCTGCTCCAAATAGAACGGGCCATCAAGAGATGAGCCGCCCAAAAGATTTCCAAATTAGAAAAGCATTCCCAGTAATAGTTAGTGGCGAAGACAGTATCCAACTTGGGGCATCTCTCCACGCAGCACCACTTGAGCCCATTCATTATATATGTCCCAAAAGTGTGTTCAGGGGCAACACTGGTGATGGAAGAACTGTCGTGCACGTGCAACGACTCCACACTGTCCATCACAGTACGTATTGCATCCCTTGCCCGCGTGCTGGACTTGTCGGTGACGTCACTAATTCCCTCGCCAATGTCCATGTGTAAGTCTAGTGGCAGAAATTGCGCTGAGCTGCTGCTACTGCTGATATCGATCTTTGCGGATATCTGTTCAATGCTGATGTCATGGTAGGTTAATGACTTGGGCAGAGACAAAGCAGCAGCTAGCTGTCCAGTGCTATAATGACTGCCCATCTTTTCCTTGTGGCAGCCTCTTCCATCATCATCGCTGGTAGATGACAAGCAGAGATTCCACTTATCACATCGAATGCGTGCCCATGTCCAAAGAAACTCCAAGGACTGAAGGAACCTCATGTCTGCAACGGCAACAGATGCATGGCAATACTCCTTTACTTCGTCTTGCCGGTAGACCATCAAAGAACAATCACGTGACCATGCTGGTTTTCTGTTGTCCACCTCTCCTCCTCTTGCTCGAGTGTCAATGCACAGCTGTCCGCATCCCATCAAGAAGAGCCGCTGAAGATTTTTTACTTGAACCACCTCTCCAAGGTCAAGGATTTTGATTGCTGTGTGCGAGAGGTCCAGCTCCTCAAGGTTTGGCAGTGACCCACGCAGTATAAAGTTTGCTAATCTTACACACCCAGCCAAGCTGATGTAAGATATTTCAACATTCTTCTTCTTGAGATCCTCATCTTCTCCTGCGGTATTCAATGAGAATGATTCAAGTGATGGAGGGAGTTGTCGAGGGCCAACATGCTCCAACCCAACACAACCATCTAGAATCAGTGTCTTGAGGCTTGTTGCACCCGAAAGGCTCGGCAAGACTTGTATGGTGCTGTTCCCAGATAGGTCAAGGAGCTCCAGATTCACCATAGCCATGAATTCATCTCTTCTTTCTGTCTCCCAAGGGTTTGTGGGCTCAACTACTTGGAGCTTGTGAAGGTTCGGCAGGCGTCTCCATGCAAAGTTGCTGGTCCAAATCCTTCCGTTGGTTATATGAACCTCTCTAATGTCTGTAGCCACCACTTGCTCTTCTGTTTCTGGGGGAAAAGCCAATGGCCAATCCGTGTGGCATACATCTAGCACCCATAGCCGCTGAAAAATTTCCACCGCTCGTTCACCTGTTTTCTCCTCCTCCTCCTCCCCATGTTGTAGTCCATCCATGCATCTATCCAGTCCAAGGAATCTTAAGTTGCGGCAGCAATGGAATGGAGGTGATGAAAAGCTGAAGGTACATCCACATAACTTCAGCACCCGGAGTTGATCTGCTTTATGGAACTTGTCACTAGGTAGTGATACTGCTTGTGGACTTGACTTTTTGGATCCATAGAACAGGGTTGTTGCCTCTGGAGGAACCTCTTTGAAATATGATTCAGTAATAGAAATCCATTGTTTCGAGGAAAGATCCAACATGTCCACAGACGCCATAAGCTGTGCATTGGATGAGTAGTCTTCTAGTCTTATATGCTGCTGCAGAGCATGAGCAACCTCCCATGTCTGGTTGTCCTGTCCTCCTCCTATGATCCCATCGCAAACCCAGTAGCAGGAAGCATGGGTTGCCCAGTTGTAGTCAATCATCTTCTTACCTTGGTTATTCAATGATAATAGGTACAAGCAACACTCTGTGGCTATTTTAGGTGTAACACCATGGCCAAGCTTATTCATGTGCAAAGCGATTTCTCTAGCATCGTCTGCAAGGTATGCATTCCTGTTGCTGTGAGGGTAATACGTAGCATAAATATAACGGTGTGAATTCTCTACCTTTTCAATAATTTCTGCATTGAGACGAAGCCGTCCTCTGAAGGTCCACAATACCTTAGTATTGAAGATTTCAGGTGGCGGAATGCCACAGCTAGTCAAGTCAACCATGCCATCACTTCCATTGTGAAAGACAACTAAACATCTGTACTGTACTAAGTATCGGGCTATCACCCTAGCGACATCTCCGAACTCTTCTCTGGAGCCAAGGTCTACCCCACTGAAATCGTCCTCCTCGTCTTGCGCGTCAATGGCCACTACCTGTTGAGTGAGCTTGAGCTCGTCTGCGATCACCCTTTGCAATGCTCTTCGGCTCTTCCACATCGAACAGTCAATGTGGATGATCCTGTCGAATTTCTCTCGTAAAGATGGTGGAGGCTGCTCTGCAATAGCTCTAAGCACCGCAGAAGCACCCAGTCCAAGCCATCCCTCGAAGTAGATGAACTGAGGTGCATCGTTGCTTGTGTCCTCTAAGTAAGGAGATATTTGTTGTACTGCCGTCTTGACGTCGACCGCCCAAATCCACTGCATTTTTTTATGCCAACAATTAACTAGTTAAGAAGGCCACTCTCACTCCACAAACACACAGTAACTAGCACAAGGAGCAGAGTACCAGTTTAGATCTTTCTTTTTCTTCTTTTTTCTTTGGTTGGAACTTAACATGTGGTCAAAAGTAAATAAACTAATATGATATAGTTAAGAATTAATTGTTGCACCGATGAAGAAAAATATTTGTGCACAAGGTTTTAAGAATTAACCGATCGAGATGTTTTATTTTCTAGGACGGCTAATCTTATCAGCCCCCACTCTAATTCAAATAGAATTCAGGTACTGCTCGCCACCCTTGTCTCACATGGTTGCTGCCGGCGCTCGCCGAGCTCCTGCCTGCCACATGGGGCCTCCAACGCTGTACCGCCACGTAGGGTGATGGTGGTGACCACCATCATGGCCCTGAGTGTTGCCATTTGTGCCGTCCTTTGTCGACTCTACAATGTCCGATCCGCTCAGCCAAATCGGTAGGCTACAGGATATCGCAGCTTTGGTCCACGACGGCGGGAATCCAGCCCCCCTTCGCGCCGACCAGCATTCCACCGCGTTGCTGCCCAGGTCGTGGCTGCTAGCTGTCGTACTTGATCTAGAGCTTGGAGTGAGACGAGATCATGAGAGAGAGAGAGAGAGAGAGAGGAAAGAATGGATGGAGAAAGGGCATGGGGAGTTGAGGACTTGAGGACCGCCAGCTCCGACTGAATTTGAACCACAAGATTGAAGGGCTATTATATAATACAACATAAATAAATGTTGTATTACGTAGAATACAAAATTATGAATAGGTCTGTTTGATCTTGGGACTAACAGTTAGAAGGAAATAGAAGGACTAAATATGGGCTAACTTTAGGCTAATAAGAGCTCATGGGGACTAATTGATGGTTAGAACTTATCAGTCCTTATATTAGCCTATAGTTAGCCAATATTTAGCTTATTATTATCACAAGATAGGCTAATTTTTAGCCTTACGATCCAAACACAGGTACTTCTCTCATTTGTCCACATACTCCTATTTTGAGAGTAATTGTAAAAGCCACTGATAACAAAATTAGTCATTATAGTGGTGTATGTTCCCAAAAGTACACGGTCTATATCTTCACTGGGGGAGGGGGGCATACCTCGACTTCTTCCGGCGGCATGACGAGTCTGTATATATAGAAAAGATTCGCAAACTGAAGAAGCTCCAGAGGTATTTTTGTAGCCCATATCTACTCCATCGCTTCCAGATGGATCTCCAATCCCTAATCCACAAGAACAAAATAAAGCTAATTATACATGCGTCCGGTGTGAACACATGCATGCAGCACCTAGCTGCATATATATAGAATGAGACAAAGAGGAAAAAAACATGTGCCGAGTAGTAACAACCATATGGAATCAAGAAGCATAGAAGTTGTTAGTACCTTGGCAACTAGCTACACTGTATGTATATAAAAATATCCTGAGCTGCGATCGGAGAACACAACGCAAGAAACGGTGGTGCTGCCTGAGTCTTAGGTGTGTGCTGATCAGCAAGAGGTAGCGGACAGAGGAGAGGTAGTACTATGCGAGGGGGGATCGAGCTGCCTGCGATTAGCTCCCCGTTCCGTTGCTTCTCCAGATAAGCCTGTAACTTTTGGCATTGGCATCAAGAAAAAAGATACATGCGGCCGGGTGCTCTTTGCTTGGGGCTGGAGCCAAAGAATAAAGATGGAACCGACTGTCGTCCTGCAAAGAGCAAACTCAAATAGCTTGCACATATGACCCCTTTAATTTGTGACATAGCTCAAACGCGGCTTCATCACAGTACAATTGGTTTGCCCGAGTTACCGGCTCATTCATGTCTGTACTTTTTAAATCCTATTATACAGTTCACTTCACCTTTGTCTCAGAGTCAAAGTTTTCTAACATTGACCATATTTTTATTTTAGGGAAAATATATATTAGATCTACAAACTCAAAAAATGCACAATATAAACATACTCATGGAGAATTTAAGGAAAAACTAATTTGTTATTATAGATGATATTGGTACATTTTTTTTATAAATTTAGTCAAATTAAAAGTTTCACCGAAGATAAAGCAAAAATAACCTATAATTTAGAACGTGAGAGGGTAACGTGCAAGACTAATAACGTAACAAGTACCACTCACTATGCTCAGCAAATCAGCATGGCAGAGATGCACATAATGGTCTGTCACGTTCCATTGCCTTAATCTTGCTTTACCAGGCTTGACCATCAGTAGGCTTGATAAAGAGGGTACCGTGCTAGATTTTTGCTGGTGCATTCTACATAAATAAAGTGGGTACCAAAGCAACCATGACAAGGCCTTTACAATGTGCTATTCCAGTCCCAACTCTGCACCTGCTAGGTTTCACAACAAAGTAGAGCATAGCATCCAGCTGAAGCTTCCCCTTTTGTGCACTGGGCTTTGACCCTTATTTACAAACTCACAATAAATATATGAAAACACTGGCCAAAGATAAATTCGCCCGCTTCCCATTAACCAGCAATCTCGGTACTACTGCTCAACAAAATAGGACTGCCAGCTAATTCAAAGCACCGGAATCCTGGCCAAGCAACCGGCCTTGTACTGGAAGGAGCGAGCACTGCCATTCAGCTTTGCCCTCTCCATGAAGAAGGTCCCTGTCGACGCCACCACCATTGTGAGTATTGCCAACCGGCCTAATCTTTACTTCTTTCATCTGCGACCAATTATCGTTGCAAAACGAAATGCCACGTCAGTGGAAGCTATCTGGCTGAATCTATCAGGCATCCTGTATTCTAGGAAAGGACATGCTATTAAGTCCAATGATGTCTAGAATTGGGATCGTAAGCCTAGGTACATGAACTGCCGCAAGAAGTGATGTCAACAAATACACGAAACTCACAATACCTTGACATATTCCTTTTTCAAGTAAGGGAGTAAAAGATGCCAGCATAGCTGACAGGCGACAAAGAAACAGAATAGTCTGAATCTGCCACTTCCATGGACAAGAATCAAGTCCAGACTGCTGTCCTCAAACTGAGCTTTTGGTGCAACAACTGAGAAAGTATTTTTTTTGTTTCATAAACTCCCTGTATGTACTCTTGTTCGTTTTGTTTCAAATTTTAATTCTCAAGTAAGAGCTCCGGTCCCTCATGTTTCCTAGGCAGGCTTGCAAAAGTGATTATAGAAACAAAATGCCAAGAAACTTCTCTCAATTTCCTGGAAACCCAATAATCTTGAATCCTACCATCGTTGTGTTTTTCCACGTCCCTCGTCTAGACGCATCACATGTCTGCTTTTTTGACATAGTGATGGATTTGTTTACCTCTCCTAACCTTGCCATATCAGAATGTTGTTCATGGCATTTTTTCTGTCGGTGCTCAGTGGTTTCAATTCTGAATGTTTCCCTGGCGATGAACATAACAGAGTGGATGTCTGGAGCCATGTTACCGTCAAGCATGAAGAGGAAGGTGGAGGCATGAGCGTGATGGCGGGAAATCAGAAGGAGAAAACGCCAGGAGATTAGGCCGGTTCCAATCACGGGCCAGTGAAGGAAGCGAGGCCCGTGTGAGCTAAGAAGCCCAACTCCAAATGCTTTGGGGGTGGCGTGATCAACTTTGCTTGTAGGAGAGATAAGAAGAGAGAGAGAGAGAGAGAGAGAGAGAGAGAGAGCAGAGGAGAGAACACGAGGAAGAAAAAGAGAGAAGTGGCCGGCTGCGTCCGGGCGGCGGCGGCAGGAAGCAGACGCTCGCCTGACCTTGTAACCTACTGATAAGGACATGAGATCCATACATACGATCATGCTTGGAGATAGAGGCCGAGGAGATCAGCGAGGTTGTCCTAACTGAGAAGGAGGTCCGAAGCTCATCCAGTTCGAGTCACCGAGGTGGAGGCCCAAATCAAGTTCGAGTCAATCTCGGGTTCCAGGACCAGTCTGTCATAAAACTGGTCGCACGGGTGCGTCCGGGATCCGTTTTCGATGATCCACATATGGATGGAAAGCTAATTAGATAAGAAAGCCAATGCAACTGGTCTCACGTCAAAAGCCCTTCGGAATCAACAGGAATCGTCAAAACAAATCAGCGTCCAGAATCTGCCAGGGTGCCGTGACACTGTCTTTTAGTCCACTGGACCGTGTATCGTCTTTGAGCCCATTAGGAGGCGCGAACAGGGGGGTGACGCTCAATACTCTATCATTAGCAGCCGTCACTTTCCTTATGGTTTGGGTTTTATTTAGTTCTTGATTTCCTCATGAAACAGACGTCGTTTTGCTGCAACTGTGCCGCCAAGGCCACTTGCTGTGAACCAGGGCTGCAGTTCTTGATCTTATACGTCTGTGGTGATTAGTCCTTTCGAATAAAGACCTGAACTCCTTCTCATTATCATAAGCCTCATATTTATTTGCAATTTCATATTGTGTTCATCCCGATCTTACTTGTGTTCTCGATTCGCTTGTAGGAAAGCCTTCTCGGCGAGGTCAATCGCGTTCGCGTGGTTGATAACCAACGGAGCAGTGGTGTAACTGTTGCGAGGGTCCGAATCAGTCTTGGTTTGAAGCCTAGATCGTGAACGTCGAGTCTCCATCAATCGATGCTATCGTATCTATCGGAAGATCGGGCCTTGTCTACATCAAGTGGTATCAGAGACCTTGTTGCCCGTTAGGTATAACTTTATTTTTCCCTTTAGATTGTTACTGTTTTTGTATTACCTATAGTCCACAAAAAGCAAAAAAAATACACCGCCACATATTCCCTGTTCTATAGCCTCGTTGTGCCGTGTAATTTCGTCTCTGTTTCGCGTTGTTGAGTTTGTGTCCTAGGGCAAGTTCTGGTTGCTGGTTTTAGATCGTTTTTTAGTCCAGTTTGTGTCTTTCCCTTTGTTTTTTATCATAATCCGTGAACACCTTCAAGTCTTGCTTTGTTTTTTTTTGTATCCATCAAACCCTAGTTCACGCCATCTAATTTGTCACACTTATCTTCACTGTTTGCATCTATCCATAGCCGCCGCAACAACTTTTGCACGCATTGTTCCCGTTTTATCCTCTAATTTAGAGTCAGTTCTTAACACTGGTCTAGTTTTCGTATACGAACTCAGATTTCGACGTTCCATATATCAAAATCGATCAGAAATTTTTTTTGGATCCATCCGTGCCCAACTTTAGTGGGTTCGGAAAATTTTATTTTGGCCAAAAACTGGTCACAAGATCCTTTTTTCGTGGTCACAACCTTTTTGTTAATTTCGAGCACGACTTCTGAATTTTCCACAGGCCACGTCTTTCACTTGTTTAGGCTCATATTTTCTGTGGTTACTTCTTTTGTGCTCCTAAGTGAAGAAAAAATATCAAAAAATAAAAAGAAAGAGTCAAAGAATCCCAAAAAAACAACGATAGCCCAAAAATAGAGAAAAAAAGGGACAAAAGTGGAACAATATCTAGAGGAGCACATAGAGA